GAACTGTTTTCTCCACAGGAGGGCTTTTGACCCCCACGCTAGCTTTCATCACAGGTGCAAAGGGATACGAATACGTTCAACCCATCATCATCAACACCCACCTCAACTTTGCCTGTGCTACGAAGTACCGACCTACCTGAAAACCACATCTTATACCTGACTGTGTACGCCGCAAGTATCAAGGTATACTTCCCAAACGGCTTTCCAAGACAGGAAAGCCATTCGAAAAGCAGAGACATTTGTCAAGACATTAGGATACGAAAGGCGGCCTGTCATCGGTATCATCTGAACGGCCATCGCCATTCGTATAGCCCAATGTGTAACGATGGTTCTTGCTGGTACGTTTGTGTTCTTCTCTTCGTCATTATTCTCCTCTGGTGCCAAGTTAACACCTAAATGGCCAACATAAATCAGGATTTGAGAGACGGAATGGGGGGAAACTGATGTATGATGCATCTTCGAACCTCTTAACGTTCCCTGTTTTCTCGGGCCTATTTGCATTTCATCGTTGAAATTGGAAGTTGGCTGCGCAGCACAACATACTTACCGTACGAGCTCCATCCGAATGGGGTGGTAGGCCGAGTCTAGGGCGTCAAGGTTCCCCACGATCTCACCGATCTCACCTTGTCCATGCAGGGCTGGTGTGACACCAAGTTTTACAGTCTCTGCATGTATCCCATGAAAACACCCTACTCTACGTCCCAGCTTGTTGACTGACTCTCAATTTCGAACTCCAGTACGATGCCGCTGACTACCAGCCATCATCCTCTCGAGGCTACCAGCTTTGTTGTGCGAGTAACACAATACCAATGCCCAAGGCCTCGATGGACAGCCAACCTTCCAGGTTCGATACTCAGCAACCAGAGACCGGTACAGCTTCAAGTGCAGAGCGGAAGAACCTTGTTGGTCTTGGTTGGCCAATAGGAGATTATAGCGATGTCACACATTGGTGACGGCTTGTCTACCCAAGACGTTGCCTCGGTCCACCCGGTCTTTCGCCCGCCATGCTTAACGGCCGTCTCTTCCCGTTTTGCTTAGTCGTATGCAGGATCACAGATCTTGGGCCGGCCGCAGGTTGAAGAGAGTTATTGGGACACCCTAAGGCCGCTTCCCGCTTGTTGACCGGTCATCATGAGGTCACCAGACCAAGGAGCACGAGCCACTGAACAAGCGGGGTGTGGATGGCCCCCTGAGTCCATGTAGCCGCCAGACGCCCTGTCTAGACAATCATCTGTATTGTCATTGGGCGCACTTACGCGAAAACGTGTCGTGTCTCCCCTCTCTCGGACAAGGCGAACCAAAGAGATCAAAGGTGGCTGAAGGCCATGTGATGTAGCGTGGGATTCAGCCTTGCAGGAGCCTTGTTGTCGGCGGTTACAACCCAATACCACGTGGTTTATGGTCTTTTGGGTTGGCAAATGGGTCGGTTCAGAAACTATTTGAGTCAGTATAACCCCCTGATGGGCACCCTTATCCGACGGTCAAATTTTTACACGAACCAGAGGACAGAATGATGTTGTCTCAGAGAGACCCATACCCGACAAACACTGAAAGCACCATCACGTTGACCTTTACATCTTTGGCGAGTCTTGATTTCAAGCGAGACAATTCCAAGAGGCCCTCGAGGATGCTGTCGGCTTTCATCACCACCTAAACACCTGATATAACCCAACCTGGCCGCTCGGCAGCCCAGTCAAAGCAGCCACACCTAATCAACACACTTGAGGATGAAGGGATACAGCCACACGGTCAGAACGCCATGAGATATTCTGTCACAGCCAGCTCAAGCAATGCAATATTCGAGTCCCCTGCTTGGCCGTACAAATAATCCCGCCGTTTGGAAAGTCTAACGCTGTCGATTGTCGTGTGAAGTGTCCTCTCACCTGGTCCCTCCTTCTACGTAGTCGGAACTTTACAGTTGCGGGAATTAACCGGCTTTTTTCCGTGTGGGATGTATTCATACCTACATGCATTCAAGGTCCTTCGTCTCGGTGAGCATTCTCATGAAGATCTTCGAAGCTGACAGCCCTTTCGTTACCTAACGAGTCGACCCGTGTGTCATCACATGATTGCTAAACCGAGTACACATCTCGACAAAGCACTTCGGTGTCACACACCAACAACAGCCAGCAGAAAGTAGCATTTCACTTGGTGGCTACCTTTACCACCAAATTTATGTAAAGATTTCCTAACACAGGTGCTGTTCCACACCGAGCGGTGGCCTAAAGTGTCTCGCTTCACTCTATTCGGTGGTCTGACGTTCCACTGCACCGACCAAAGACTCGTCCTACAAGTCCACTAGTCCAAGTGACAGACGGTTCTGCAAGGGAGTGTTGATCAACGGGCTGGTAGACTCTGGGGTACAGTACAGAGCTGCACAGTGCGTCTGCGCTGCGGAAAGCGAAATCAGCAGGAGATGATAGGAATCACACCTTCAAGGTTGCATTCTAGTGCCGGCACCTTCTTCCCTGAGAGGTTTCCTATCAAATGAAAGGATCCATGGTTCTGCCTTCTTTGGCTAGATCGCTTCAATTTTCAACTTGAACTTGATCTCTGTATACACTCACAATACACCGCCACTTTACAGCAACCTGTGAAATATCGAGACCTTGGGATTCCAGCCAGCCAGATCGCAGCTGCAAGTCGATATGCACCTGGTTGTCACGAGTCGCGCAAAAATTTACATTGGGAAAGGGAGCTCCGCTATTATACAGGAGGCCATGCAGGCAAACCATCAGACGGCTTCACGACTATTCGGTACGTACAGCGCAGTGGTGTCTGCTTATACTATGGACATGGATGTTCACGAGACGGGAAGCGGGAACTAAACACAATCGGGAAACACTTTTGTCATGGACCACAGAGAGCGGGGGAACTGCCCCAAGAAGCGGGGGCAGGTTGCAATTTTCCCCAGCAAACAATGTTTTCCCACTTCTAACCTCTACAATTCTCGTTTTGCCATGTTCCTTTCCGCTGGGCAGCTATTCTAGATCTTTACCCCTGATCGATCGGGTTGCTGGACATTTCCGCGGAGGAGTCGTCCTTCAGAGCGTGGGCTGTGTCTTTGGAGGTCGGTTCTTCAGTGGGATTCTCACCCCTCCTCTCTTGGCCCCTCTGCCCACTCAGATTCAATTCAAGCGGAGCGAGCTTTGTCTTCCTCTCGGCAGGCACTCAGAGTTCAAGGAGTCGGGGATTCCACCGTTCCCCGTCTCCTCCCCCGCTTCGGCTCCAGATTCTCCAGTCCCCCGGCCTCCGCACGGTAATAATAAAGCTAGGAATCCTCGGTATACAATCGGCCTCACACCGAAAAGTCCGGCTAGGGTGGGTTCTGTTACTAAGAGCAACATGATCCTCCCCGAGACAACTGGGACTATCGGCAGCTAAGGCCAGGTAGGATCATGTCCACACAGTCTCCAAAGGCAATTCTCTTATTACTATGACAGAAAGATTGAAGACGCGGCCATTCGCCAATTTGTGGCCGAATCATCCGATGTACCTCGTATACGGACCGCACCAGACAGCTGGGTGTCAAGGTCTAGGCGTGGACGTCTTGCTCAGAAAGGACCTTTCCTCTTCCTCACTGGCATCTCTTCAGTCATTCAGGCATGCTGACTTGCACCTGGTACGAAGCCAGCATACAGCAATCCCATAGACGACTACCTACGTAGGTATGGTGAGTCCCTTCCCCTGAAAGACAAGATACAACTAGATGGAAAACCAAGGCGCAGCTGGTGACAGACTCCCGGGATTCATGCATTGGCTTCTTTTCGTCGATTCCCGATGAGGAAGCCACTCGCGCTGGCTTAGCATTTGGGTGAGAACCCCCACGACAACCAACTACCGACGTCATGGCACACAATTTCTTCTTTTCTGGTGAAAATTTTCTTCAGCTTCCTACAAGGTCTCAATGGCTTGGGTCGGGACCATAGCTACGCCGGAAATCGGATCAAACTTTTCTTCTGGTGGAAAAATCGGGTATGGTCTTTGTGCATTGGCTGACAGTCCCGATGTTTGGAGCTGAGATTTTCTTTTCACTTTTGCCTCTCTTCTTTCAGCCGAACCCCCAAACCTCCCACTTTCTCGGCAGCAAGGTAAGAGACAGATACATTACTCATCGCCGATGAGCATTCACTTTCTGTACATCAGTATGCAGGACTCGTTTCCCCCATCTATACCCTCGTCGAACTGACTGCCCAATCCAAGTACACTTCCACCATGTTGAGATCAAGGGCAGAGACAAAAAGTTGGAAATAGCGGTGGGACAAAAGGCCGATCTCCCATCCTCCCGAAAGTGCAAGTTTCCGGTACCACAAACTGACAGAAGAAGTTGTTGAGGATGGGGGTCTAAGGGTTACCTCTTCGTACCCTAGATGTGGCGACACAAGCCTTTCATCACCCCATGATGGCCATGAATGACCCCCAACTCGTCTGCCCACAAGATCATTCTCACAAAGCATGCTATGGTACCAGAGGAGGTGTCAGGCTGGCGCGACACAGTTTGCCTGCAGCATGCAAGGGGCAGGGCAAGTGTCGGGCAACCAAAGAAATGGGTTGGACGCCGGGCCCCCTTCTTGCCTTCTATGGAAGGTCTGGTACCCTCATGACCACCGACTTTATGCAGCTAGGCTATTGGGCAGCCGAACAAACTGTGGAAGTGCTGGTGGCGTAGGTAGCTAGGTCCCTTACCCGTCCAACCAGCTGTAAGCCCTTGAGTCACCCTACGCACCGAGAGGTAGGGTGAGTAGGGAGGGTGAGATCCGCCAAGTAAACTCGCTCACTGTAGCAACTAAAGGCTCAACTCTTTTCGTACATTCCCAGTTGAGACAGGTAAACAAACATGAAAAGGGGGTGGCGAAAACCACCTCAACTTTCCCAACAAGCCCCAAACCCCAAACGCGAGCTATGAGCGGCCTAACAAAACAACGGAGAATAAAACGAATGAAACTTCCAAAAATAAATGCATCCTTACGATGGAGTACCTAAATACTTTGTTATCCTGTTGACAAGGGCGAGATTCGAACTCGCGCCCCTTTCGAGACTACGGAATTTGTTCCTTCCAAGAGGAAGGATAAATATTTGAGGGGTTTGCAACACCTTAACGTAGCGCCTTAGACCGCTCGGCCACCTTGCCATTTCTTTCTCAAGATGGAGTTAGGGCTTGGGGACTCTTGTTCATATCTTCTTTCCCCCTCATGTGCGTAGATGATTTGAGGGATCTCCAGGAAGGGCATACCCCAAGTCTGAGAACTCTCGCAGAGACTCCACTCGAACAGAGTTTGCTGCTTGCGTGAAGCTTATCCTCACAACACCTTCGAAGACGGACAACAAATTGAGAAAAGCACCCTACATTAGTAAGCTGTGTAGAACGAAAAGACAACCTCGAGATAATACGCCTACCCAGGGAAAGCAGTTGAGAAACTTAAGCTTTGCAAGTCTCTCATTCTTACACCTGCAAAACAAAACACCTGAATTCTTCAACTGAAAACACTTGTTTTACCAAGTTTCCACGACCACATGCACTACTCTTCCAGGATGTCCAGACATGATCAAAAAGTCCGCATCATCTCTCTCCCACAACCCACCCACCCCACAATCAACCACATAAACCCAACTCTGAAGCCACAAACTCAACAAATAGTGCAATTAATACTCCAGCCGGGTGACTAGTCTAGTGGTCAGGACGCTTCGTTGTGGATGATCTTCACTTTCAGTGAATCAACACATGCGAATCCGAAGAAACCCCGGTTCGATTCCGGGGTCGCCCATATTTCTTTTTGTCATTTTTTTCCTCCCTTCCTTTCAGCTCGTTAGGTATATTTTTTTATCAGACATAAATCACTACCTTGCCTATAACGGGCAGAAAGGGAGGGTGCAAAAAGGTGACTTGTTGTGAGCGAACAAGTGCCAAGACCTGGTGATGGAGTCAAAACGGAGCCAAAAACATACAACACCGGGGATTCCCCAGTGGTCACCCACCTGAGTACTGATCCGGCGATTAGTAGCTTATCTATGGGAGAGCGGACGGGATCCCGAGTTCTCTACTATCTATGGTCGTATGTGCTTGTAATGACCGCGATAGTAGTCTCATGAAGGGTTGGGCTAAGCCAGGGGAGGGAAGGAGAGGAGAGGCATGCACCTGGGTCAGCACAGAGTATGTCTCATGTCTTCAAACATCGAAAGAAGCTGGCTTGAACAAAGATATGTTACTCGTCTCGGTCGTGAGGCTTTATTTATCATGTGTATGTAAAAGCTCTTCTATGTATCCACGTTTTCTTGTGTCCAAAAACCCCCCAGCCTTCTTTGAGCATATCTCTCCGTCCCCTGAAAAAGACCGATCACGCCATTTTCATTCGACTACGCAGACAAAACCGTTCAAATCAGTCCCTAAACTGTCCCTGAGGCAAATACCGCCAGTTATCAAAATATGCCGGCGTGGTCCCATTCTTCCCGTTACTCGTCGCATAGATCCCCAGCAGCACCCCCGTGAATCCCCAACTAACCGGGTCATTAGAAGTATACAACAGCGTCTGCATCTGCGACCGAGCATCCGCCGGACCGACACTGAACGAATGGTGCGTTCTGTTCGACGCCTTGATCTCCAAGGTAAGTTTCTTCCCCCGCCAGCCAATGGGCACGGGTGCGATGATGGGCTTGGGGACTGGGACGTAGGATTCCCCGCGGAACCGAATTTGCGGGATCAGCTCACTGACGCTGCTGGTGCTGTTGTCGGGAGTACCGCGGGGTAGGAAGGAAGAGACGGTGGATGCGTTGCGGGGGAGGAGGACGATGCCCATGTCTAGATGGTGGTTTTGAGTCAAAAAGGCCGTGATACCGGCTTCTTCTTCGAGGGTGGTGGGGGAGAAGTCTAGGTCCACGGCGAAGGTGAAGAGAGTATCTTGCTGCCGGCGGGAGATGAAGGTTTGGCCCGTGGGACCGGCGTAGTTGCCGTTGAGTGCCGTGAGGTTGAGGTTGGAGGGGGTCAGGCGGAGGGTATTGGGCTTTTCGGGCGGTGAGACGGTGAAGGATTCAGAGACGGGGTAGCGCCAGTGAGTGAAGTGGCTGGGGAGGGAGGTGTTGGAGGAGAAGGTGAGGATTTCGTCGGTTTCGTGGTTGACGAATTGTCTGAGGTTGTGGTCAGCGATATGATAGGAATGGAATTGTGGGAGAAGTGGCGTCTTACCCTTCGCCCTTGATGTCTAGTGTTTCTGCGGGCATCGGCCAACCGCTAACTTTGCCAGAGATGGGGGTGAAGACCGGCCATCCACCTTCTGGCCAGCTCACGGGTGTCATGACGGTTTCCCGGCCCATGGGATAATTAATGTATTCTGGCCCAGAACGGGTCGAAAGGGCAACAGCCCACCTGAAAGGTCGTGTTAGAACTGCTTTTTAAGTCGATAGTGTCTTGGATTTACCAGTTTCCGTTTCCGTCTTGAAACATATCAGAGTGTCCCACGGTTTGAACTGCAGCATGGTTACTTAGTGCATGATCCCAACAAACAGCGGCGGAGAGTGTGTCTTACAGAGACTCGTGGTATTGGCGTTGCTCAGAACCGGATTGTTCTCGTACGACTCGAACGGTCCTGAGACGCTCTTGGACCGAGCCATAGTAACCATATGGTCAACTCCAGTACCGCCCTCCGCGGCCAAAAGATAATACCAACCATCTTTGTGGTAGATGTGCGGTCCTTCAGGGGCCTGATATAATGTCAGTAACTTGCAATAGGAGGGGGCCCAAAACACTCACAAGACCACCAGTTCCATTCCAGATGGTACGCCACTCGCCCACAACACCTGTGTCTAGGTCGACCTCAGCTTGTTCGATGTATGGACTTCAAGAAAACATCAGCTCGACTCTCCCAAGGTCATCTGATGAGGGAGCTTACCCAACCTGCCAAGCATGAGCAGCATTGATGTACACCTTTCCGTCCACGTCCCAGAATGGCTCGGGATCATATCCCGTCAGATTGAAGTGAGTGGCCTTGGACCATGAGCTTGAATTGTACGGATCCTTGCCCTTGAAGATAATCTGGAGGATAACCATCAGCCTTTTCTGTCAACACGGATTCGACCAAGTTCACTTACATTGTCCCATCTGGAAAAGTCTGCCTGCGGACGATCATCATCCACGAGAGTAGTGACGAGCCAGAAAGTGTCATCTTTAAACCGAAGGGTCGGCGCCCAGATGCCACTCGTTGACCTGTTCGTCTCGGCCAACCTAGGAAGCTGATCTTTCCGGTTCAGAACATGGCTGATGAGCTTCCAGTTCTGGAGATCCTTGCTGGCATGAATTGGAATTCCTGGAAAAGCATTGAAGCTGGAAGAAGCACAAAAGAAGGTATTGTCACGTTCTGGGACGTAAATACAACTCGGGTCTGGGAAGAAGCCCGGGAAGATTGGGTTGTAAAAGGTGGAATTCTGTGCGTTGCCCCAAGAAGCAAGCAAGCCCAGCAGAAGTAGAGAACGCATCGTGGTTATCTCCGGGCTTTCAGCTGGCTAGACATTCTACGGCTACGGGCACTGGAAGGGAGCTAGACATCATCAATAAATAAACAACAGAACCAAAGACCTGGTAGCTGGCCCCGCATGTCGGCCGTCGATCATGACCATCGATCAACGTCGTATTCCCGGATAAAAAAGGGGGATAAACAAATCCAGAGCATTTCCATGTTGCCGGGCGGGGCTTGTAGACGGTGTTTAGGCATCTGGCTATTCTATTGTGTCGTTGCGTTCCCAGAAAGGGGAGAGGTGCGTTTTCATGGCTGTCGCGTCAGAGGAGGGACGAAGATGAACTGTCAATGCAAGGTACCGGACTTGATGAATGGGAGCAACCGGCTTGGCTGCATCATGGTTCTAGTGTATACGAGATAAAGGCAGAATAGAATACCTCGACGAGTACAATATGCCTCTCAACCGAAAGCACTTCTCTCCATGTCAGAAAGAAGTCTGTCTGCGGCGAGGGGGTTAGCAGGCGAGAGAAGCTTGGATGTGATCATCAATGTTTGAGAGGAAGACAACAACTGTACATAATTGGGGGGAATCTCTTCAAAGAAAATTAAAATAAGCCCAGAATAAGGAGTCTGTTGAATAGGATGTAAAATAATTTAAACGGAGGCATAGGTATTAGCCTCAGTGGACATGATAGGAAATTTCACCTATCTAGGAAAGGGAATGGGAATCTTAATTCCCCATGGAAGTCTGAGAAGCTCAGCCAAGCCCCTGCCCTTGGTGCCAAGACACCGTCACGCTAAACCCTCACTAAAAACTTTAGCGGGGTTCACTGACGACGGTATTCAACTTGTCGCATCGCACTCCCTCAACACCAAACTTCCATATCCAAACCTATCACCACAACTCTTCGCGCACCCATATTCCACCACTTCACCGCCCCCAGACACTTCCCAACCACCCAACCCAACACTCAGCGCAACCCAGGGCCACCGCGCCTACCCCTCAGTCAAAATGCAAGGCTTCAACATGGGCCGCTACGTCCCCCCAGACCAGGAAGGCCTCGTCTCCTCCGGCAACGCCCTCCTAAAAAAACACCCTCTCGGCTCCCGCGCCTCCAAGCTCTCCTCCCACGGAATCCTAACCGTACGCTTCGAAATTCCCTTCCCCATCTGGTGCGCCCACTGCCCGAAACCCACCATCATCCCCCAGGGCGTCCGCTTCAACGCCGGCAAAAAACGTACCGGGTCGTACTATACCACCCCCATCTTTTCGTTTTTCCTCAAACACCCGTCCTGCGGCGGCGAGATAGAAATACGCACCGACCCAAAAAACACGGACTATGTAGTCGTCTCCGGTGCCCGCCGCCGTGACACTCCCGCCGGCGATTCCGACGACCTCATCTCTTCAGGGGGGGTAATCATTCTCACAGATCGCGAAAAAGCAGAGAGCAGAGAAGCCTCGTTTGGGAAGCTCGAAAAGACTATCGCTGACCGCGAACAACTCCTCACGGCAAAAGTACGAATCGACGAGCTGCAAGAAACGAGCGAGAGGCAGTGGGATGACCCTTACTCCCAAAACCGGCGGTTGCGCGCAGCATTTCGCGTCGGCCGCCGTGAGAGAGAAGCAGCAAGTATACGAACGGAAAGTCTACAAGAGAAGATGGGTTTGGGGATAGAACTCCTACCAGAATCCCAAGACGACACGAGGAGGGCTGCCCTGATAGAATTTGGCGGCGGCGTCGACGAGGATACCGAAGAAGGCGACAAAATCGCAGAGAAGGCGCTTGCAAAACCCTTATTTGGCAGCTCAACAGAGCTTGTGACTGCCGAGCACAAGAAGCCGCAAAAGAAGATGCTCAAAACCGAAATGGCGGCCTCCAAAATCAAAAAGAGCCTCGTCTCGGAGATCGTGAGCAATACTCGCGCTGCGAGGGATCCTTTCCTGGGTTTTGGAGATAATAATAATAATAGCAATAATAATCATACGCAGAAGGGCAACGGGGGCGGCGGCTCTCTGCTTCCAGGACTCAAGAGGAAACGTACAGAGGATATAACAGCAGTGGATGCGGATGATATTGCTGTACCTGCTGTTAAGCACACCAAGTTCGAAAAGAGAGACGGGTCGCCAAAACTGGCGCTGGTGAGCTACGACTCGGACTCGGACTGAACTGCTGCTGCTGGCCAGCGAAGTCACGCTTTGATCACGATGTTATGATGTTATGAACTTTTAGATGCTGCAAAGGCGATGATACCCCTATGAGACACAGAGTATGGAGGACTAGATGGGAACTTAGTATAATTTCTATTGACTCCGTAAG